CTTGATAAACCAGAAAAAGCTTTTTATTGACATAGATGTAAAAGCTCCATGAATTTCGATGGTAGTGTGGAAATTATTATTTCATAGAAATTACTGCTAAAAGTTCTAAGGCCGATAAATTTATTGTAGCTTTCAGAAGTTGTAGAAATAAAACTTCTGGAATTAGATAAACAAGTTCTAAGGATTGAAGATTCGATAGATTAACAGATGTTTGTAGCCTGGAAAATACGTCTATGTCAATAAAAAGCTTTTCTGGTTTATCAAGTCCATCAAAACCTTGATCAAACATGACATATGCAGCGTATAACGCGTTATAATCAGTTGACAAGTAATAAGCCACAAAGGCCATGTGTAAAGAGATGGAAAGCGTTGTTAGTTTAGTCTTTTACCAGTTATAATCCTGAATATACGGAAGATTTTTTGTTCCTAGAATGTACGATAATTTTAATCTTTGGTTAGCGTTCACATCTTTTGTCTAAAAGACTATTGAAACGCCTTGTGTTTCAATGGAGATGTTGAAATTAGAAAAGACAAAGACGGGGAGTGTCGAAATAAGGAAGAAGATATAATTTCGGCGCATATACAACTTTATTGAAAACATGTGTTCATCTCAAGGAAGGAATACATGGTTCGGTTCTCTGCAGTCTTCTGACTATTCCTATATGAAAATCAGAGGGTTTTGATGAACTTGGCTATAGACACTCTATTCTACATAGTAATACTGTGTCACTCAAATCACACTAACCTTGATCAAGTAAAAGACTTTTCCCTGGGCTCGACCTTAGTCCTGCAATGCTATTAGAGATGGCCAGACTTTCAGGAATGTTGACTTACATTTGCTGATAACATACATAAAATTTTGGCATTAGCGTTTATTGAACCAAGTGCGGTTATAGCTGGTTTTGAATCGTTATGTTTCAATCTTGGTGATGACTAGCAACAAATTCTTGATTACATTGAAGATAATTATATCGGTCGTATTCGTGGAAGAACTAGACCACTTTTTTCCACTTTTGTCAGGTAACAGAATAAATGATGCGGGTAATACATGCCCACGATGACTAGCGTGAATTACGAATAATTGAAAAACAATTTCTGGTACAACTTTAAACGTTCCATCAATGAAGAAATCCTGCAAAACAAAACCATACTCAGATAGTCAACAGTTACGTTTATGGAACTTACCGTTGCATTTTCCATTATATTCTGTTGCTCGTCGGTAAAAAATATCAATAAGTGATTTGAACCAGGACCAGTATCTTTACGGGAAAATTCTTATCGCCAGCGACGGATGTTTCGGTTCAAATTTTCATTGCTTGGTAGCTGAATACGCACTTCATCCGGAACACCGATATTTGTTTGTGTTAAAATATTATGAAGATTTGTTTGATTCTGTTGTGATTCCCCTTGTAATCGTTCATAGCACTGCCGAACTGGTCCAGAACGTGGATTTTCAGTGTGGTTTTCATGATCACCAACAGTCTTAATGAATACATTGCTTAAATCTGTATGTAATCGTCCATGGCAGGCATATTTTCTCGCATGTTCGCACTTCCAAAATATTTTTTCATCATTTCTTCGATCAATAATATATGAAA